GTTTGGAGCCAATTTAAAATTCATCTTCTATATTCATACTTTGATGTTTACAACTTAATATCTTGAGTTCCTTGAAAATCAAATAAAAACTCTCTTTTGCATACCATACATCATTCTACATTTTTTGTTTCACTTTCAAAGGTCCTTTTCCGAGTCTTATTTTTCCTTTGGTCTCACCAGTACAACACTCGCGCTAAGAGAACAATGGAGAATATCAAGCAAGAGGTTTCTGAACTCCGTAGAGAGATGACTATTTTGAAAGCTGGTATGGATCACTCGACTGTTTTGGTTGAAATTCTGGTTGCCGCCCAAGTCAATCCTTCTAGGAGGGACGAAGCGATGATAAAAGTCTTCACTGAAAAATCATTCTCTCATGAGAAGGTGATGGTTAATGCACCTAATGACTTTCCTGAAAAGGTGAATGTGGGAGTGCGTCTAGAAGAAGATGTTGGGAAGGGATGTTCATATGAAGATGGTAGCTCAACTAATGGTGTAAGGAAGTTTGATAATAACTTTTCCAAGAAGAGAACTAGAGGAAGAAATAATCATTGTCAGAATCATCATGTTTCTCCTATTCATCAACAAAATCAGCAAGTTCCTAATCAGAGGAAAACCCAGTTTTATCCAATTCCAATTACCTATACAGAGTTGTTCCCTATCCTGATGCAGAGGAATTTGGTTCAGACTCGACCTCCACCAAAGGTTCCCGAGAAGATACATTGGTACTAAAAAAGCTGATTTGACTTATACTTTTCATCAAGGTGCTCCTGGGCATGACTTGGAGGTTTGCTTTGCTTTGAAGATTGAGGTTCAGAAGTTGGTCAGAAGTGGTATCTTGTCATTCAAGGACGTTGGTTTTGAAGTTCAAATCAAGCATGCGCCGAAGAGTAAACACGATTGATGGTGACTTTGAGTCTTGAAGGATGTTTTCGGTAATTCAAGTCCAGATGGAAAGCCTTCCCAGTTTATTGACTTATTTCCTCTTTTTGTAATTTTTCTTGTTTATCAAAACATTGTTTGCATGTAAGAACTTGTTTGCATCTGAATGATTATCTTAATACAATGAGTATGTTTGTCTTGAAGAAATTCATTCGTTTCACTCATATTTGTTTTCAAATTCTAAATTTCTTTTTGCATTATGATACCAAATTGTTGCTCATTCTCTTGCCTAGGCAGAGATTGAAGGGAGGATGATGATCTAAAGAACACAAAATCTCTAGTTGCATGCTTTTGGATAAAATCTTGCTGATGATGTACAGGCATTGTTTCAAATCCCTAAACACTGGAGATATAAGGAAGATAATCCCTTGCTAACCCCTTTTGAGCCTTTGAAGCAGAAGTTTCTTTTCTATACGAAAAAACCTTGAATTTTAACCTGGGGCAGGGTAGTTTTTAGTTAATCTGACTGAGTGTTCGAAATTCATAAGGAAGATGTTTTTTTGAAGAGAAACTACGAGGGCTATCTTTCATGTATAATGAAGCCAGAAGATGTGGAATCATAATGTTATCCCTCATTCATCAAGAAACGAGGCAATCACAATCTTCTCAACAAGCAAATACAAGCTAATGTCACACATTTTGTTCAAAAAGTCAAAAAGTCGAGGAAAAGAAAAAGCCTGCTAAGTAAAAAACATGAAAACGTGTGACTTAGGCAAAATTAAGGCATCCTGCTGGACTATCAATTCAAAAGAATTAGTTCAGGCAAAAGTTAGGGAAAATAAAATTGCAAAGAAAAGGACTGCAAAGAAAAGTCCTCAGCAAAGAACCAATTGGTGACTACAAACACGAAGACATGAGGGTGGTTTCTACTCCGAAAGCCTCGTCGTTTCCTTGACCGTCACAAAATCCTTTTGAGAGATGAACACTCATGTTGAATTAACTGAACATAGGGTTGGAGAACATCATGAAGGGGGTGGGCACCAAATATTTTGAGCCTTAAATCCTTTTTTCTAAAACCATGAACCAGACCACGTTACAACCTTCAAAAGTCCTAATTGAAGCAAGGTTATTTTGAAAGCATACTTCCATGAGATAGTGTTCCTGACTCCCATGAACGATTGTTAAATAGTTATATTGGTATCATATGTTTTTCCTATACAAAAATAAATGATGCTCTAACTCGCAAAATTTGTGCGATATCTTTTCAAAATCTTCAAGACTTACATAACTGTTGCATTAGAATTTTCATTCTCATAATAAAATTTTCTAACTGCAAAACATTTATTTGATATCAAGGAAACTCACATATAAGCACCAGTGATGAGTTTATTCTTTTAAGGCTTGAAACTATGTTGAGTAATTGGCGAATCACGTCAAGAAAAATCATATGCAAGGGCATGCCACCTGAAGACCGTAAGCACGAACATGTTGCTTCTCCCAGTTAATGCTTTTCTCCAACTTGTTTACTCTTTTGGGGCAAAATTTGAAGACTTTGTTGTGCCAACTACAGTCAATCTGGGGCAATCACGTCGAGATTTGATGAATTCCTCTAAGAGTTTGAAGACACCAGAGCATGGTGAATGCCAGGTCTTTTGTAAAATCCTCTTGAGACGATTTCTCCTCATCAACCAGATAGCATGGGGCATTTTAGAAGTGAAGTTATTCGCAAGAATCGTCGAGTATCACGCAGCTTATCAGCAATAAGCTTGGGGCATCCAAAATTAATCCCAGGGGCAATCCAGATTTGTCAAGATATGTTTTTAATACATTATCAGAGGGTGGTGTTTCCAGTATCTCCAGCTAAGCAAGACTTCTTTCCAGCTGAAACTTTGTTTGTGTTGTTTTCCTTTCAATGGATTGTTTGCAATAGAAGACTGGACTTTGGGTTTTCCACCTGAAAATATCTTCCTCTCCAGAGATATTTAAGCCTTGTAAAAGGACTTTGCTCCAATGATGGCATGTGTTTTATCTCCAGTAATGTTCCCATCCTGTTGAGATTAGCCGAGTGTTGGGTTGTGCTATGATGTCTTATCATCTCCCGTTTATCTTGTCTATTTGTTTTGTCAGCACATACGTGACATTCATTTATTCATTCACACTTGCATCATGCACGCACAGTTATATTTGTTGATATCTTTGAGTTCGTATACCTTGGTTATGTTTATTCAAATAGTGTATTTGATCTTTCCAAATAGAGTGTCAACTTAAGCAGAAAGTGCGCCTCCTTCCTAATTCCCCACTGAGTTAACTCTCGTGGAAGAATCTTGCTTTAGCTTTCCTTTTCCATCTCTGGATAGGATAAATCCCCATTTGAGTTGTTTCCTCATTGGGTGGAGTCTTGTTTGACTATTTTCTCTCCAGTTTATTCCTAGATTGAGCTTTGTCTCTTGTGAACGATACCCTGTGGATCTCTCTAGGCTGTGAAACCTAGATGGAGAGTGCATTTATTTTGCAACGTAAATACTTGGTCTCCTCAAGAAAGATTTATTCATGGTTCCCCATTGAAGATGAACTCTATTCCCCAGCAGTGTTATCACAACCTTCTTCTGGAATATCGACATGACAACAAGCGACTGACTCTTTATTTGAGCAGTTTGATTATTTCTGATTTCTCTACGACAAATGGCGGTCTCTTCATGAGCAGTTTGTCCATCCCCGATGAAATCATTGGTTCTCACCTCCAGCAATATCTTCACGATATTTTATGGGTATCTTTTTGGGAAACAGCAAGCGGCGGTCTCTTCATGAGGCAACTTGTGTGTTATGGATACTCTTGACAAACAGCAAGCGGCGGTCTCTTCATGAGCAACTTGTGTGTTAATGTCACCTTTGAAAACATCTAGTGGCGGTCTCTTCATGAGCAACTTGTATGTTATTATCACCTTTGAAAACAACAAGCGGCAGTCTCTTCATGAGCAACTTGTGTGTTATTGTTCCCTTGAAAACAGCAAGTGACAGCTTCTTTATGAGCAGCTTGTGGGTTTTTGGCAACAAGTGGTGAACTCTTCATGAGCAGCTTGTGTGCTTTGATATTCTTTGAAGACAACAAGTGGCAGCTTCTTTATGAGCAGCTTGTGGGCTTTTGGCAACAAGTGGCGGACTCTTCATGAGCAGCTTGTGTGCTTTAATATTCTTTGAAGACAGCAAGTGGCGGTCTCTTCATGAGCAGCTTGTATGTTATTGACACCTTTGAAAGGAAGCAAGTGGCGGCCTCTTTATTTGAGCAGCTTGTGTATCCCCAACAATAATGTTTACTCAGCAAATGGCATCCCTTCGGAAAAGTCCCGTGGGGAAGTTTGTTATTTTATCCTTTTCAAGCGATATCTTGGTTAAAGAAGAAATGTGTTACCGTTCTCGGTAAAACTCAGAAATCCGAGATGTTTATCTCCAGCCACAGTGCTGATGTCAATCATTTTGTTTTCTAGCTACAGTGCTGATGTCAATCATTTTGTTTTCCAGCCTCAGTGCTGATGTAAATCATTTCCTTTTCAATCACAGTACTGATACCAATCATTTCTTTTTCCAGTCACAGTACTGTTGTAAATCATTACCTTTTCCAGTCCCAATACTGATGTAAATCATTCAAGAGTCTCTCATTTGAAGTCTATGACTTTGTATCCCCAGTGAAGTTACAACCTCTTCCTCTGTGGGATTACTGTATAATGTGCTTGGTTTCTCCTGCATAGTCTGTCTCATATGGCGTCATTCCCCATAAAATTCAAAACATCACATTCATATCATATCGTAAACATAATCGCGGTATCTTAAGGCCAAAAATTGTGTATTCTATATTTAAGTCCCTTCAATCTCGTCGAAATGAAGATCCCAATCTTCATATCTCCAGATAGAAGAAACTTAAATAGGGGCAGCTGTTGTACCCCAATTTTTGACCTAAGATCCCATATTTATTTTTGCATTTTTTAACATAAGCCAAGGTCACGAAATACGGCCGGTTTTAACGTCTCACCTTCGAGCTTTGACTATGCTAAGATTGTCAAGTGTTTTGAACATTTTTAGCATATGTATCACTAATTTCTAATCGCATACAAAGGTGTATGTTCATGTTTTCTTTTGTTTCATGTGCAGAGACAGGTCTGAATCAAGAGCATCAGGTGTCGCGCCTCAATTAAGGTTTTGAGTCTCCCAAGCCCGAAGTACGGTTGATTGTGGATTCTCGAAGACTGAGTCATCAAGGCTACCATTACTGCTGCTGTAGATGAAATTGAGGATAATCTATATTACTTTAGTGATGTGATCTCTGCGGGAATTCCTGATGTTGAAAGGTTAATAACAGACAGCATTCTGACGCTTCTGATTTTTCCAGTACTTCTTCCTTCAATAAGGATAGTGGCTGCTAATCATGTTGACCAGGATATACAAAGTGATGTTGTCACTTCTCTCTACTTACTTTGTTGCATCTTGAGGATAGTCAAGATCAAAGATTTGGCAAATACAATAGTTGCTGCACTTTATTACCCCTTAGAGTCCCTTACAAAATGTTTTTGGGGTCAAGTCAATGGAATGGTACCTGATAATGGTTTTACTTCTGAAGGCGACGGGATAGATAATAATAATAATAATCTTACCAAGAATAATAAAAAAGGCTTGGTAGTCAATGTTCCATGCTCACCTAGTTCTTCAGGTTTTCATCCACAGAGTATCACCATGCTAAATAATGGTAGCAGTTCGAATGTCGCTTTGAGGTACTTAGCTGATCAGTTAACAAAAGTTCAAATAGTTAATGAGGTTAGTAAGGATTTTGTTATTGAGGCACTGAGATCAATTGCGGAGTTGATAACATATGGTGACCAACACGACCCAAGCTTTTTTGAATTTTTCATGGAAAATCAAGTTGTGGGGGATTTTGTACGTGTTCTAAAACTTAGCAGGACTATTAGTATTCCACTTCAGTTGCTACAAACTGTTAGCATTATGATCCAAAACCTTCAAAGTGAACATGCTATATACTATATGCTTAGTAATGAACATATGAACTTCCTAATTACATACTCATTTGATTTCCGCAATGAAGAGCTATTGTCATATTACATATCATTTTTAAGTCATCATTGAAGAGCGATAGGTGGGAAATTAAACAAGAATACTATTTCTTTGCTGGTGAAGACTCGCAACGATGAAGTAGTTTCATTTCCACTATATGTTGAGGCGATATGCTTTGCCTTTCATGAGGAGAACATGATTCGTGTTGCTGTGCGTGCTGTGACCCTTAATGTTTACCATGTTGGAGATCACTTTGTTAATAGATATATAACTAGTGCACCTCACACAGATTACTTCTCAAATCTGGTTTCTTTTTTAAGAAGCAGTGTATGGATTTAAACAAACTGATCTCTGATACGCAGAAAAAACCTGCCCAAACCACTCAAAAACTATCCCTGCTATGCTGTTGTTCGGAACAGTCCAATGTTGCTGTCTATCTCTAAATTTCCCTGCAACAATAGACAAAAAAAACAATATCAAAACTTTCCCGAAATGTGCAAAAAAACCTGCTACTGCTGTGATGTAAAACCTGTCCAAAAACAGTATAAACTTTCACAAAATAGGAAATGCCAATCCTGCATCAAAAAGGAAGAATCAGCCTATTACATTTTGTCCAAGACTCACAAATTTTCCCTCCAAAAAATTTTATTCTGAAGGCGGGAAAACAAAAGTAAAAAAACCTGTAGAAATTTCTAATAACTTTCCTCCAAGTTGGGAGAAGCTTGATAACATCACCTGCTGTAAAACAAAAAACTACACACTACCTCTCATCTAACCTCACTCAACTTTATAAAACCATTCATAGTAGACCCTCTAACTAACATCTCTCATAACTCAAACACCAAACTCCCTTTATTGCTTCCAACGCACAGTAGCCACCAAAAACGACCCCCTTCATCCTCACATTGCCATCCGCCAACCTTTTACTGTAAACCCTTCCTTTCTCCAATACACTTTCCACCTATGTTCACCTTTCATCAACCCCCTGTGGGATAACAAAAAACACAGCTGCAAGACTCTTAGAAGTATTACTGAACAATGTAAAGATTAGAGAAACAAAGGTTACTAAATCAGCCATCTTACCATTATCCCAGTACCTCTTGGATCCACGAACTCAATTACGGCAAGCGAGGTTATTAGCAACTTTGGCTCTAGGTGATCTATTCCAGAATGAGGGTCTTGCTCGGACAGCTGATGCAGTCGCAGTTTGTCGTGCTTTAGTGAATATGCTTGAAGACCAACCAACTGAAGAAATGAGAGTTGTTGCCATATGCGCTCTGCAAAACCTTGTGATGCACAGCCGATCAAATAAAAGAGCAGTTGCAGAGGCCGGTGGGGTTCAACAAACCAAGGTGGTTCCAAATGGGAAGGGAATGGTGATAGAGCCACACTTTGTTGGGCAGTTTGGTAGCGATAGTAACTGAGTTGTTGCTTTTGTGAAAAAGACTGTAAGAACCGCCACGGCCTTCTCTCCAACTCGCGAGGACCGCCCATCAACAACAACCTTCCATCATCATCACCTTCACCTTCTGTCAAAGAAAAACGCACATCACCATCACCATAACCCCAACCTGCATCATATTTAACACTACTGTAAACTGCTGGCATCAATTTATCAACCCGCATCCATCAAGACAATAACAGAAACGCACACGCGAAGAATCAATAGAGACAAAATCGTAAAAAAAATCTGAAGAGGAAGTATTTTCGAAGAAGAAGTGGAAGCGAGTTTACCTCTGATTTGGCAATCATCTTGGTTAATTTGAAGAAGGCACCAGACTTTCCTCTGGTAGGTAAGTATACTCCACACTCTCCTTAGATAATTTGACTGTCTTGCTCAATTGATTGTGTCGAATCTTTTCATCACTGCGTAATCTGAGTTGAGATGTTGAAACGAATCCCACGGTTAACCGTCCACTACCGCGTCCTCTAGCTCCATCTCCATGTCACGTTCACAACACACTTCTCCACCACGACCCCACACGGCTCTCCGCCTAGATCCAGCTGGCCATCCCTCCGTCCAAATCATTGTCATTACCTGTCAACACCACCAACCTTCATTTCCTCTCCAGCCACCGTAACACTGCTACCCACATCTGTAACCCCCTTTTGCCCTTCTTCATCCAGCTCACATTAATACTCCCTCATTTCAATCTTAACTCCCTCTATCTGCGAACAGCTACAGCACCTCTATTTCTCCTTCTCCAACCTTCACTCGCCGAACCCCAACATCTCCAACTCCACAGTCCGCCCCGCCTCTGTTTCTTTCGTCAAACAATAACCATCTCCCCTACCCCGCTCAACTCACCCTTCGATTCATCATCATCCCAATTCTGCTAGCTACCCTTATCCGTCATCTTTTCAACGCATACCCGTTGCCGCCGCTCTCTTTCTCTCCTAACACAGAGGGATCCGGTCCAACCTAATGCCTCGTTTTTTTTGTTTGTCTTGTTAGTGTTAATATTGGGCTTCAACCTTTGGCCCATCTGATTTCACATATTATACCTCCCTTATTCCACTTTGTTTTTACCCAACTTATTTAATTTCTATGTTTTTACCTCTTTGTTTTAGCTGTTTATTTTTATATTTAATTTTATTAATCATATTTAGTTTAATTAATCAATCAAATAATTAATTACTTCAATATTTAAATAATCATGTTTTTCCCTTTATTACATAAATTTTACAAATTAGTTTAGTTTTGAAATATAGCTTAGTAATTTTTGTGATTTTAACCTTGTTCTAGTTAATCATTTTAGCTTAAATTATTTATATTTTCATATATGATTTTGCTTTCTCTCTCTAATTAATTTCTTTGTTTATTGACCATTAATTGTTTGTTTGGATTTCTATTTTTCTCATAATATTTCTTTGGTTAAATAACTTTCCTTTTGATATTCATCTTATTATGCTGCCTTAAAATTCCAAGGGAAATGTTTTAAAATTGTTGACTTCACGTCATCAAACACATCTCATACAATCGTGCGAATACCCTCATTCATTTTTTTTACTTGTTTACTATTTTTCCAAACTTAAGATAATTTTCCCAAAAGACTCCATTTTCAAACTCACACCCTTTTAAGTCAAAACTTCGATATTAGGTCGCTGTCTCTTCAAAATCTCTCCAACACCGATTTTTAGCCAAACGAACCATTTTAATCAAACAAACAATGTTTACCAAAAGCAGATATTTCAAAAGGTTCCTGCGGAGTACCGCAGATGCATTGGGTGCTAATACCTTCCCATTGTATAACCAACCCCCGAACTCTCGATCTCTTTTAAAAATGCATTGTATTTTCATTACTTTTAAATATTAATTTACATTGCATACTTTAGGGTTTTATTTCGCTCTTTTCCCTTTTCCCTTGGAAATAATAAAGCGCGGTGGCGACTCTTGCTTTTGCGAGTCAAGTTAACTAATAGCTTGATCTCCGATTTTCACCGCTACACCATGAAGCACTTATGCCTGATATGTTTTCAAAGAACACTCCTCCCCTATTAGATGATGTGGAAGAGCTTCAGCTTTCCCTAGTCAGGATGCGGCAAGAAAAGGAGGCTTGGAAGAATAAGTGTCAGACTTTAGAGGTGTCCTACCGAGCAGAACTGAAAGAGAAAGATGACCTGATTGAGGTTCTCGAGAGTCGTGTTGTAGAGATGATGGAGAGGCAAGAGCATTTATTTTCCTCTAGAGCTCAGTTAGGACCTAGTTGCTCACTTCTTGACTCTGGTGATTGGAAAGAGGTCATCAGTTGGTATGCAGAAGAGAACAAGCAGTTGAAGGCTCAAATTGCAAGACTTACAGGGAAGCGTCAATGTGTGGAGTGATCTTCATCAGCTTTACTTTCTTAGGATCTTAGATTCTAATCTTATCTTGTACTTGAGATTATTGAAACTTGTACTAAAAAGTTGTAATCTATTTTGAAGTTACTATAATGAGATTTTCAGTATTTCAAATGTGTTAGTACTTTAATATTTTCAAATTGTCTATAAATCTTTGAGTTCTTTGAAATATTAATAATAAAATAAATCATGTGCATTACATATCATGCATCATATTGTACATACTTCTTGCATTTCTGTTCATACCCAGGTGTTTTATTGTGCTTCTTTACTTCATTTTGCAAGTTGTCTCACCAGTACAATACTCGGGCTAATTCTAGAAAGAAGATGGAGAATCTTGAACAAGAGAATCGCGAGCTGCGCAAAGAAGTTACTTCTTTGAAGGCCGGTATGGCCAATCTCACTTATTTGATGGAATCGTTGGTGGCTGCTCAGAATCAGCCACCACTTGCTTAGCCTCAACAGACAACGGTTACTTTTGAAGCTCTGACAGTTCTCGTTTCTGTTACTTCAGTTACTGTTGTTTATAATCGTATGCCTCAAGGTTATCCATGGGGAATGCCATAAAACTTCATGCCAGAAGGTTATAATCATGATACTCAATTTGATCTATTTTCTCAGACTACTGATGTTTCTGCACCTCCTGTGGTGCATGCTACTCCTATGGCTAGAAATGCGATTCACTATGTTGCACCTCCTTCGGTGAATGATGTACCATTTGTTAATGATGAAGTTTATCGCCTTATTTCGCCACCAAGTGAAATCTTGGGCTTCTATGTTCGAATGGACGATTTTCAGGATAAGTTTGATAAGATGAAGAAAGAGTTGAAGGCCCTCATAGGAAAATAATTGTTTGGGAAGAATGTAAATGATTTGTGTTTGGTTCCAAATGTGAAAATACCTGCGAAGTTCAATGTATCGGAATTCGAGAAGTACAAGGGCAATACTTGTCCTCGTGCTCACCTAGTGATGTATGTGAGAAGGATGTCTACTGACACTGATGATCAACGCCTATTAATTCACTTTTTTCAAGACAGTTTGATTGGTGCAGCATTGAAATGGAACATGAGCTTAGATAGTGCCAATATTCATGCTTTCAACGACTTGGGCGAAGCATTTATTAGACATTAAAAATATAATATGGACATGACACCTAACCGTGATCAACTCATGGAAATGGTCTAGAAGGACAAGGAGTCATTTAAGGAATACACACAGAGATGGCGTGAAGT